CAAAGTGCAAATTGTGCAGCCAATACATGAGTAGGGGAAGAGTGAAGTGTAGTGATGTCGCGAACATAACATTTTCGGTTCGCGAACAGAAACTTCCGCAAATGTTCGCGAACGGGCGAACCGGGCGAACCGCCATAAACCCACAGGGACTCTTTCTGGCCACAATAGTGATGGAAAAGTTGTTTCAAGGGGACTAACACCTGGACTGTGGCATGCCGGAGGGGGATCCATGGAAAATTACATAGTTGATGCAGAGTCTGGTTTTAATCCATAAAGGGCATAAATCACCTAACATTCCTAAATTGTTTGGAATAACGTGCTTTAAAACATCAGGTATGATGTTGTATCGATCAGGTAGTGTAAGGGTTACGCCCGCTTCACAGTGACAGACCAAACTCCCCGTTTAACGCACCGCAAACAACCGCAAACAGTCCATTTGCACAACCGCAAACTCCCCATTTGCACAAGGTTGGATACCAAGCTAGCCATGTCCCGTTCCTTGTCCTCACTGATGTCATTGAAGGTCTCTTCCTCCACCCAGCCACGTACAACACCAAGGGTCCCCAAAAGGTGACAACAAGCCCCCTGGGACGCCTGCTGTGTTTGGTCTTCCTCCTCTGACTCCTCTTCTTCAGAATCCTCTCTCTGCGTTGCCTCTCTCTGCGTTATTATAAGGTGTGATAAGTAGTACTATTCCTATCAGTTTAATCCCTGTTACGTCCCCTATCAGGGGACGTGTATATGGCATCGATTTTAGGAACCGGGAGATGGAAAAAGATGCTTGGTCGGTCCTCCTACTTCAAATTTGGGACACTGCGCGTGCAATCTAATGTGCCACCAGATAGGAGTGGTGTGTTTAGTAGTACTATTCTTATCAGTTTAATCCCTGTTACGTCCCCTATCAGGGGACGTATATATGGCATCAATTTTAGGAACCGGGAGATGGAAAAAGATGCTTGGTCGGTCCTCCTTCTTCAAATTTGAGTCACTGCGCGTGCAATCTAATGTGCCACCAGATAGGAGTGGTGTGTTAAGTAGTACTATTCTTATCAGTTTAATCTCAATGTCACGACTACTAGTGTGGTCCAGCACGCAGAAACTATGTAAACATATACATAGGCAAGAAAAGGAAAATAAAAGGACAGAGCGTAAACCGGACCTTAGAATGGCCGGACTAATACGCTAGAGACAGAGAATGGTCAAAGGGAAAGCCGAGGTCAAGGAAGCCAGAAAATACACAATACCATTTACACAAGCCAAGTCAGGGAAACCAGAATTCAGAATAACCAGGGAAAAGCCAAGATCAAGATACCAGGAAATCAGATTCACAATGATAAAGCACTCTCAGGAAACCAGGAACAGGAAACCACGACAGGGCAAGGTACTGGGGTGAGCTAGGGATTTAAATATCACGCGGCAGGTCGGCAGCCGCAACACCCTGTTACGTCCCCCTCATCAGGCCTTTTTTAGTCGAATGTATCGCCCACTGTCAGTCCCTTCGGGATCCATCCCTCATTCATCTTAATAAAGGTGAGGTAATCTAGACTTTTTTGACCTAGGGAACTTCTCTTCTCAGTGACAATACCTCCTGCTGCACTGAAGGTGCCTACTCTGCTTTAACACTAAGCATGTACTTGCGGCTCGCCGGGCCGCAAAAATGTCTGTTGTGGTCCGCATACCCACTCAAATTCACTGACACACACACTCACATTCACTGACACACACACACTCACATTTACTGACACACACTCACTCACAGTCACTGACACACATGCACTGACACACACACACTCACATTCCTGACACACATTCACTGACACACACACACTCACATTCCTGACACACACTCACTCACTCACTTCCTCACATTCACTGACAAAAACACACATTTCCCCCAAACACTGACAATTATTCTAATTTTTTTAAAAGAGTAGAGAGAGCTCAGGGGAAAGTGCTCCCTCGCCGTCCGCCCGGGAACCAGCTGTCCGCCTGCCCCGGGGGAGCCCAAAGGTGGCCAGCCGGCCAGCTCTTGGGCTCCCATAAAAAGAGGAGCCTGGGCATTTGGGGCCGGCGTTTTTTGCTGCCCCCTGGAAATTGCCGCCCAAGGCAAATGCCTGGTTTGCCTCGCGGTAGATACATCCCTGGGAGTGCACCCTGAGGATATAGAATACTCTTCCCTCTAAAAACCACCCATGTAGAAATTTTGAATAAAGCATAACGGGTGTCCCCCTCCGTTCATGGGCTCTTAAGTCGTAGTTATTTACACAGAATGGGGTTATGTAAATGTTTAGTGTTTGTTTGTTATGGCAAAATACAAATTTTGTCATGTTTTATGTAAATCATCCGTGATCTTTATATGGAATTTTATACTGATACTAAACGATGACAAACTGTGTTTATGTTTTTTTTTGTTTTTTGTTTTTTAAATAAGTATATTTAACCCCTTAAGGACTGGACTGTTTTTGCGATGTTGTACATTTGCGACCAGGCCTCTTTTTACACTTTTCTGGTGTTTGTGTTTAGCTGTAATTTTCCGCTCTCTCATTTACTGTTCCCATACAAATTATATATTGTTTTTTTTCAGGACAAAAGGGGCTTTCTTTACATACCATTATTTATATAATCTCATGTAATTTAATTTTAAAAAAATGAAAAAATATGATGAAGAATTGAAAAAAATACATGTTTTTTGACTTTTACTTGGAAAATCTTTTACTCATCTACAAAAGCAAATGAAAAAAACTGCTAAATAGATTCATAATTTTGTCATGAGTTTAAAAATACCCAGTGTTTACGTGCTTTTTTGCTTTTTTTTGCAAGTTATAGGGCTATAGGTAAGTAGGATATGGCGGTTTCAAAACAAACATTTTTAAAATGTATCAATAGTGACATTGTAACACTATTATCTGTCATAAATCTCTGGAAAACACTCCACGTGTATATATATATAAATATATATATATATATATATTTTTTTTAAAGTAGGCCCCAGGGTATTCATCTAAGGATATTTTGACACTTTCTATGCAGCCATTTTACCACCAGTCTTTGCCAAACTTTGCATAGGTAGTTTTTTTTTTTTGTTTTTTTTTCACATACGTTGCAATTCAGGTATAAACTTACAGATCCTGTTATGTCTTGCTGCCAAAAAACACCCCAATATGTGTTCAGCAACATCTCCTGAGTACAGTGATACCACCCATGCATAGGCTTGTTGGGTTGTTTGGGGGCTAAAAGGCCACATTTGGCAGGTGCGCATATCCATTTTTCAACTTGGAATTTTGACTTGTAGTCAACCTGCGCACATGTCCTATTTGGGACATTTGTAAGGCCGGCCAATATATTTTACCCCCGCCAAACCATATATTTTTAGAAAGTAGACACCCTAGGGTATTTCAAATGGTGTTTTTTTTTTTAACACTTTCCATGCACTAGTTCAACCACCAGACTTTGTCAAATATTTAGGTAGTCATTTTTTGTGTGTTTTTTTCACACACATTGTACTTTAGGCATGAATTAACAGAACGTGTTATGTGTCACTGTCAAACAACACGCCAATATGTGTTCAGCAACATCTCCTGAGTACAGTGATACCACCCATGCATAGGCTTGTCAGATTGTTTGGGGGCTAAAAGGCCACATTTGGCAGGTGCGCATATCCATTTTTCAACTTGGAATTTTGACATGCAGTCAACCTGCGCACATGTCCTTTTTGGGACATTTGTAAGGCCGGCCAATGTATTTTACCCCCACCAAACCATATATTTTTGGAAGGTAGACACCCTAGGGTATTTCAAATGGTGTTTTTTTTTTTGTTTTTTTTTAATTCTTTATTTTTGTTGTGCATGGGTAACAATCATATGACAGTAATGCCACAACAGCATACTTAGACAATGTGAACATACAAGAGTGTGAACTGTTATATAGCATTGAGAAGGTACGCACAGATATTTATATAGTGATAATAGCGAAATCAAGCTGGGTACATGCTGGTGAGCCATAGTGAGTTCTTCTATCGTTGATTACAGTAGCGTAAGGTTAATAAGTGTAGTAAGTGTCTTCGCTTTAGCCTCAGGCCCTTTATATAGTCGCGCTTAACTATGCTCAAGTGTGGAAGAAGTATTCCTAGCATTTACAGGCTGTCTAAACAGTCATATCCAACAGTAGATAGACAGTTATTGCCGTTACATTTTTAACATGCTTGGGAACATATGCTGAACTAAAGGGTATAACAATAACAATTCGTGCCTAGTCACCTGGGAGGTTGATCGTGAGCATGTATATCAAATATATAAAACTGGTGATATAGGCTGCTTAGAAATAATAATCCTGCCCGTTTAGTGTAGAATGCAGTGTACTAGATCCAGCATGTTGTCAAACATGGCAAGAGCGCTGTTGGTGCACCTCTGTGTGCAGGGTTAGTGTGGAAGATATGTTGCCGTGTTGTTATGCAAAGCATGGAGATTTGCAGCAGAGTCAGCAGTGCACACATTACCTTCTATGCAGGACATGCCAAATCATAAAATAATCTAAGATAACAATATAAATGTTAAGCATCAACATGAGCCTGGCAGGTAGGAAAAGTCAGAGGAGAGACACAGAGGGAAAGCATTGCATTTGTGGTAAAGCACTGCTGTGGTGAGGCAAAGCAATGCAGTAGGTTTACAGGCAATATATTTTAGACATGCAAATTACTGACTGGGATGAGCGAGTAGGTAAGTCAGTTCGCAGGTAGCCATTAGTATCCCTGCTCCTAATAAGTCATGCTAGGCTGTATATGCATAAAATAGTGCTAGCTGGGCTTAGATTTAGATAGTGTTAGCTAGCAACACATTGCGGTTTAGGTAAATACATGCAGGCAATAAAGTTAAAGGGTTGGCAAGGGGTGACATGGTATTAGCTCAAAGATTGGTACTTTAAGTTTAGTTGGTGTGCAGGGTGGGTAAAGAAGTCCTGCTGTAACGAGCTATGCTCGGCAGACCCTATTCCGCTGCCCGTGCTTATCCGATCCCCTCTGGGTGCCAGACGCAGTCCTTGGGAGCTCTCCTGAGTATCCTGCTTTTCTTCGTCTCGGCGGGGCGGTGTGGGCTTCTGTGTCCGAGTGTCAGATGAGGTGACCTGTTTGCTTCTCGGGCTCGTGTCCGCCGTGGGCCTGGATTCTGCAGTGATCTGTACCTCGGCATTGTCGGGCAGGTTGAACGGGCCTGGCGGGTTTTGACTCTCCGCTGTGCCCTGCGTCTGTTGTAGTATCTCCTGTCTGTTTTCGTCCTCTTGCGCTGGGGTCGTTGTAGCTTTGCCTGCCGTGTTAATGAGGACTGTCCTGCAATTATGCCCCTCTGAGCCTTCTTTCTGGTTGGAGGCAGTGTCTTCGCAGGGAGGCTGCTTGCCTGTGTGGAGATGAGCGGTTGCGTTCTGGCCTCCAGTTTGCGCCAGAAGTTGGCAAAGATTGCTTCCAGCCTATGTAGGACCCCTAGTTGTGGGTCTATAGGCTCGGGGAGACATGAGGCATCCGCCATTTTGGGTGTCGCGTCGTGTAGCATGCATGTCGGCGCTGTTCCCCCTTGCACTCTCTCTGTACCAGGTTCGCCTCCCTTGTATGGACCGCGATCACCCCCGACGGTCCAGGGGGGGGAGTAACGGGGCTCCCGCTCGTGATGTGTCGGCATCCAGTGGCGCCGGACCGGGAGATCGGCCGCCTCTCCCGCTCGACGGGCCCCAGGCCTCATGTCACAAGTTGGTTGGCCAGCTGACCCCAGACGATTCGCTGCCCCCAGTGTTGTTTTTGTGCCCTTTTGTGGGTCAAGTAGGTCTGTTTGGGTTGCCAATTTTGAGTTATTTAGGACCAGCAATAGCTTTATTTGCCTTGTTGTCTGGGGAGCTCTGCAGTAGCACGTCTGTCTTCCATGCTGGTCAGGCCCCGCCCCCAAATGGTGTTTTTTTAACACTTTCCATGCACTAATTCTACCACCAGACTTTGTCAAACATTTAGGTAGTCATTTTTTGTTTGTTTTTTTCACACACATTGTACTTTAGGCATGAATTAACAGATCGTGTTATGTGTCACTGCCAAACAACACCCCAATATGTGTTCAGCAACATCTCCTGAGTACAGTGATACCACCCATGCATAGGCTTGTCAGATTGTTTGGGGGCTAAAAGGCCACATTTGGCAGGTGCACATATCCATTTTTCAACTTGGAATTTTGACATGTTGTAAACCGGCGCGCCCCAGTCCTATTTGGGCCAGTGTATTTTACCCCTATCAAACCATATATTTTTGAAAAGTAGACAACTCAGGGTATTTTAAATGGTGGTAGATTAATACTTTTCATGCAATAATTCTACCACCAGCCTTTGGCAAACTTTTGGGTAGTAATTTTCTTTGTGTTTTTTTACACATATATTGTACTTTAGGCATGAATTAACAGATCCTGTTATGTATCACTGCCAAACAACACCCCAATATGTGTTCAGCAACATCTCCTGAGTACAGTGATATCACCCATGCATAGGTTTGCTGGTTTGTTTGGGGGCTAAAAGGCCTATCTTCAGTTTGTCATATTTTTGCACCCTCCCCCGCCCCCCGTTAATGTTAACATCATGAAAGTTTATATTTGTATAATGTAGACATTCCAGGGTATTGTATATGAGGTGTTTTCACAGGTGGATTCAATTTTTTAAAGAGTAAAAATGAATTATGTGTTGCTACTTGCATCAGGTAGATAGCCACCTTTTTATACCAGGCTTTTGTCTTTCTTAAGATAAGATATGGCTGCATCAGCTGATCAGCCAAATCAACACCCCATGTGCATTTTATAAGCCCTGATGCAAACAGGTTTGGTCTGTACTCTGCCTCGGACAGTGACATCTGACATGCTTTCATCATGGTTAGTATATTAACATCCTTCCTGTCCTTAAATTTTATTGCAAGCACTTTAGCTTTGTACAGACCTTTACATTCACTTTTTTTTAATTTGGCCTCTATAAAAGGTCTGGGGAAATCCTTGGCATATCTTCTCACACTGCCACAGGCCAGTATCTAGAAACCCTAAAGAGTTTGAAACAAACGGACAATGCTATAAAAATTGTCCACATAAAGGTGGTAACCCTTAAACAAGGGGATCAGTAAGTCAAAAACAAGTTTCCCGCTTGTCCCCAGAGAGTCAGTACAGCCAGGAGGGTCCAGTTGACCATCTTTCCCCTCATATATACGAAAGGCAAATGTATAGCCACTTTCGCTCTTGCACAGTTTGTAGAATTTTACGCCATACCTAAAGCGCTTTGAGAGGATGTATTGTTTGAATCCTAATCTCCCTTTCATTAACGATTCATCAACAGATAATTTTTTTTGAGGAGTATAAACTTCAGTAAATTTGTGCTGAAGATGGTCTACCAGCCTATCATATTGGGTGTGATCTCTGGGGTGACAGAGGGTATTGTCATTCAAATGTAAGTATCTCAGCAGCAGCTCAAATCTTGTTCTAGACATGGTTTGAGAGCACACTGGACTAGAACAGATTGGGTTGGTGCTCCAGTAAGAGCGAATTGATGGCTTCTTTATAATCCCCATGAGAATTGTAAGAGCCCAGAATTTTTTAAGTTCAGCAACATCTGTGGGATGCCAAGCACACTCCTCCCTGACTGCATAGCTATCTGGATTGGTATCAATAAATTGGGTAGCATATAAATTAGTCTGGGGAGCAATCTCCTCCCAGATGGTATCCCCTAAAAATAGCTCCATATATTGCATAAGGGAGAAGTCATCCACATTGACATTAATGCCTGTGTTGGCACTAAAAGGGGTGATTTGGGGCTCAGCTAACTGTGGAGAAACCCGTTCCTCCTCCACATTCAGCGTAGCAGAGAAAGCACAGCTTCTTTTTGCAGCCGGCTCACACACAGATGACATGTCAGTAGATGTGTCAGAAAACTGACCTGGGTCAAAATCGGACGCAGTGTCAGTGGCATCAGAGTCTGACTAACACAGAGTTACTAACACACAATTTTTTTTGTTTTATACTAAAAACAGACTAAAACTGATAAAAACAAACTAAATGAGACTAAAACTTCCGTTCGCAGCAATCTGTAAACTAACTCCTGCAAATAGAATCTAACTGGAGATTTGGGGGAAGGATACTGACTAACAGAAATTTGATGCTTTCAAAATAAACAAAAAAAATAAATCAGAAACAAGTATTATAAAAATGTATTTTCTGTGTGGTAGACCTTAAAACATGCTCCAATACACAGTCCAGGTTTTGTAGGGCAATCGGGACAGTGAAAAGGGGTGTCTGTCCTTTTCCCTTTTTTATAACAGACCCGGCAACGTTTCTGGGGATTTCTTTTTTTTGGTGTTGGTGGTATCTTAAAAATAAAATGTCTAGACTCCTCTTGCACCTTTGTTGGAACTTGACCATCTCCATAAATTATTGTGGAAATCAGCTTGAGCTGAAATTGGAGATAGGTGGTTCTTCCTGGATTCATTTTTTTAAAGAGCAAAAATGAATTATGTGTTGCTACTTGCAACAGGTAGATAGCCACCTTTTTATACCAGGCTTTTGTCTTTCTTAAAATAAGATATGGCTGCATCAGCTGATCAGCCAAATCAACACCCCCCATGTGCCTGTTATAAGCCCTGACGCAAACCGGTTTTGTCTGTACCCTGCCTCGGACAGTGACGTCTGACATGCCTTCGTTATGGATGGTTGTTAGCATGTGAACATCCTTCCTGTCCTTAAATTTTAGCGCAAGCAGTTCATCTTTGCGCAGAGCTTTGCATTCACCTTTTTTTAATTTGGCCTCTATGAGAGGTCTGGGGAAATCCATGGCATTTCTTCTTACAGTGCCGCAGGCCAGTGTCTGCAAACTATAAAGAATTTTAAACAAGTGGACACTAATGTAAAAAATGTCCACATAAAGGTGGTAACCCTTATTGAACAAGGGGATCAGTAGGTCCCAAACAAGTTTCCCACTTGTCCCCAGAGAGTCAGGACAGCCAGGCGGGTTCAGTTGAGCATCTTTCCCCTCACATACACGAAAGGCAAATGTGTAGCCACTTTCGCTCTCGCACAGTTTGTACACTTTAATGCCATACCTAGACCGCTTTGAGGGGATATACTGTTTGAACCCTAATCTCCCTTTATATTTCATAAGGGATTCATCAATAGATACATTTTGTTGGGGAGTATAAACTTCAGAAAATCTGTTCTGAAGATGGTCTACCAGTGGGCGTATTTTATGAAACCTATCATATTGGGGGTGATCTCTGGGGTGACAGAGCGTATTGTCATTGAAATGTAAGTATCTCAGCAGCAGCTCATATCTTGGTCTAGGCATTGTTTGGGAGTATATAGGAGTCGAAGAAATTGGGTTGGTGCTCCAGTAAGAGCAGATTGATGGCTTCTTTATTATCCCCATGAGCATGGTAAGAGCCCAGAATGTTTTAAGTTCAGGGACATCTGTGGGATGCCAAGCATGCTCCCTGACTGTATAGCTACCTGGATTGGTCTCAATAAATTGGCTAGCGTATAAATTAGTCTGGGAAACAATCTCCTCCCAGATAGTATCCCCTAAAAATAACTCCATATATTGTATAGGGGAGAAGTCAACCACATTCACATTAATGCCTGTGTTGGCACTAAAAGGGGGGATGTTGGGCTCAGCTGACTGTGGAGGTACCCAGTCCTCCTCCACATTCGGCGTAGCAGGGGAAGAACAGCTTCTTTTAGCAGCTGGCTCACACACAGATGACATGTGACTAGACGTGCCGCTAAACTGACCTGGGTCAAAATCGGATGCAGTGTCAGTGGCGTCAAAGTCTGACGCCAAGAAGGCATATGCCTCCTCCAAGCTGTACATGCGCTGCATGTTTCACACTAACAGACTAAACTAACAAAATACTAAACACAATACATTTTTTTTTTTTTTACACTAAAACAGACTAAAACAGTAATCCCTAAACTAACTCCTGTTAGAAAAATCTATTGGAGATTTGGGGGAAGGAAACTGACTGACTACGACAGACTACAACAGACTACGACAGACTAAGACAGTCGAAGACACAGATTTTTAAAAATAAAGTTAACCCTTAAGGGCAAAAAAAAAATACAGACAGTACAAATGCACTGTCTGTAACAGATCTGGCAGGGAAGGGGTTAAAAGGGAATTTTTATTAACTGCTGATACTTTTTAATACTCTCTGGAACACCTGCTGCAACAAACTATCACAATCTCTGTCTCTCTCCCCTCACAAAACGCTACAGAGGGGAGAGAGGCAGAGATCAGTTTCAAAGTGAGTGTTTGTAACACCCACTTTGACACCAGCCAATTGTGAGCGATCACGGATCGCTCACATGCCGCAATTGGCTGTTACTATCTGCCTGGGATGCCAGGCAGATAGTAACAACGGGATTTCGGCGGAAGTGATCTCCGATCGCTCCCACCACCCATTTTCCGTTAGGACGTTTCAGGACCGTCGTCGGTCGGCAACGCAAAAATGCAGAGGACGGTCCTGAAC